CACTCCATCCACTACCACCTCCAACGAAACCAACAACGCCGAGCCCAATAACGTACGAAAGGTGAGCCGCAATCACAACATCCATTCCCATCCAAATACATCGGATCGATCCTCCATTGACATGGTCATCTGCAGCAGCTCTTGGCCCAATTGGAATATTACTTTTCAGATGAGAACCTCGCTCGTGACAAGTTCTTAGAGAAGGAGTTTGAGAAAGATGAGAACGGGCAGGGCTACATCCCCGTAGAATTGTTAGCCACCTTCCAGCGAGTGAAGAGATTCACTGCCACCATCGACGATATCAAGTGAGCTTCTCCCTTCTATTGATCTGATGACATGAACCATTTATTTTCGAATATTTATTCACCATGATGATGCATCGTGTGATGCTACATCCATCTACAACGTTGTAGATCGTCGAATCATTTACGATGTTTTATTTCTTTATCGTTCTGAACGAGAAAAGGGCTGCCATTCGCGAGTCCACTTTTCTCAAATTGAACAAGAGCGGCGACAAGGTGAGACCATCCATCTACAACGCCCCTGATTCCTCCAGGTCAGGAGGATCAACCCTTACATCTATCCTCTCAGCGAAGAGCAGAGGGAGAGACGTACCATCTACATCTGTTACCTCCCCAAACATTCTACCCAAGAGTCCGTCCGGTGAGCCACCGTCTACAGCGTTGTAGATGACCGAAAAAAGGGGAATTTTTGGTATATGTGGTACCATCAAGAGGGTCGACATACCTGTCGACAAAAAGTCGGGAGAGATCAAGGGAATCGCATTCGTAGAGTTTGAGAGCAGGAAGCAGGCTCGCAGGGCGATCGCATATTTCAGTGATCGCAACAATGACTTCTTCAAGCTGGGAATGAGAGTGAGACAGTACACGAACAAGTCCGGCAGTCAGGTAAATTTCGATGAAATTTCGGGTCACGTGACCACCAGCAGTTGACTTCACCTGAGACGACTCCGAACCATTCGAGCCCCGCGGCGACTTCACCTCAGCATCGTTACTTGCAGCAACAGTACCAACAGAACACGAGCTCCCAGACACCATCCAACGCGCTGCAGGGTCTTGCGATCCAAGATCTCAGCTCGATCATAGGACATCAGGTGATCATCATCACATCATCGTGCGATCGGCGATCGTCATCGCGATCTGGTCGAGATGATCATCTCGATGATGATCGTGCTCATTCGCAGATGATGATGAGACGATGAGACTGATCGTCATGTGCAGGACGAGCCGAGCCCGAGAAGAGAGCCCACTCGGATGAGTCCACCCCACACTCCAACCCATGCATCCAATTCTCAACCACAAAACGGTGCACAGCCCGACGCCACCAATTCCATCTACGAGACCGTCCCCACCTTCAACTACTACCAAGACAAAAGGGGTGAGAGGAAGAAGAGGTACGTACCTTACGTACGTACTCCACTGAGCCTCCCAGGGGTGCCAGCAAGCCGGAGGAGGCCCAAACGATTGTGACGGAGAGGCCCAGGCTGAATCTGAGACCCAGGGCAGGAACCACCGGTAGCGAGCCGAAGGAGGGTGTACAGCCTATCAGACAACCAAAGGGCCCCGACGGCACCCGAGGCTTTCCCATGGGAAGGGGGAAGCCTGTGGGACAGTGATGACGTCACGAGGGGAAGATAAAGACGTTCACGAGATATCGATTTCGTCTTGTGGTTGGAGTGTTGTAGATGGTGGTATTTGCGAAGGTTCGAACGAATGTTCTGAAGCTTCGGACATGAAAAGTTGGCTGACAGGGAGATGATGCACAGGGGCTTCTTATTCTTTCTTCTAGGAGTTCTATCAGTCTTTGGATATGATACACCATTGAACTCGTTAGATCCACCGTACTTTTCGGGCTACAAGTTTCTCAACAGTTCAACGAATTATAACATCACCTCGGATGTAAACAGCTTGCCTCTCGTCTCCACGAATGGAAAGTGGAAATTAGAGGTAATCACTAGAATGTATGAAATGGACATACATCCGACATCCGCAGGTGACCACTACAGGGCCACGGATCGTTCACTATTTGAACCCAAACTATGCAAGATGGGCACTGAACCAAACTTATCAGAACCGACCGTCTCCTCAGGGCTCATACTACATTTCGATCAAAAGTAAAACGTGTCGTGGCTCATTCGAGCGCTCACTCAATCGACACTAGGTGGCAACTTCGTCTTTCGTAATTCAACCGCCTCCCTGTGGCATCCAACTATCAAACCTGAGCCAACGGCGAACGCTCTCCTCTTCCTCGCCGACGATGGTGTCCTCCACCTGTATTCTCTTTCAAGTCCCTCTCCCATCTGGAACAGCACTATGATCTTTTCCGTAAAACCGTATGTCAACAATACGGCACCTCCGTGGTCCACAGATGGTGGTTACCTTTTGATAGAGAATTCGAGTCCCGGCAACTATGGGCCCAGCATCACAGTTTTGAATGACACCAACATCATCTTCTATTATTCCCCCGGATACGGCACCGCTGATGTCTACATACTTGACCCCATTGGAACATACACTCACTTGTCCTTGCCATATCCATCACCCAACATCACATCGGCCATCATCCCATCTGCCTCATCCATCCTCTACATCGAAGGTGAGATGAAAGACATCACTCATCTCACCCCGTCAGGAACCAACGCCGGACCTACGGTGGATCAATCTCGGAATTCGACGCTCTGCTGGAGTCTTCAGAGTGACACCAACACCACGTGCCAGATTGTCGGAGGAGCAAATTTCGCAGCAAATTTCACGCTGCCTACAGACTTGGCCTCTTCCAATATCACGGTCCAAGTGTACTGGAATCAATATCCGAACGTAACTTTCACCACGTACGTAGCGTACGTAAGCCCATGGGATGGGTTAGATGTCCTGAGAGAGGGTGCATCGGTGTCACAAATATTCGGGACGATGGAGGGTGTCGTGGACCTTGGGCTGAAGTCGAAAGATTCGCTAGACTACACTAGTAAGAATGGAATATCTCTTCACGCCGCTGTCATTTCCAACGTGAGTCCACATCACCGTCTCATCGTCACGTCATCACATCATCATGGATCACACCTCATCATGATCTCCCACACTTGCACCAAAATTGATACAAACAGAACACAAACGCCACCGAAGGGAAATTGAACGACGCCAAGTTTACCATTCCAAGATCCATCATCGATGAACTCGATGCGATCAACATCACATCGAGAAAGACTTTCTTATTCAGCAGGATTCCGTTCAATCCATTCACGATCGATGCCAATTGGACCGTGTACGTATGATATCGCGACGAACGTCTCGACTGATCGAGCGTAGGACTTATGATGTCATCGGATTGAGTCTCTACAATAATGGTACGTACTCGAACGTAACCGACACCCTTCACCCTATCTCCGTCACCTTCTACAACGCGAAACCGAGTAATAATTTATCGATAATGATGTCGGACACTCACCGTTGTAGACACAACCTGTGTGTATTGGGAAGAGAGAGAGAAAGGATGGAGCCCACGAGGCTGCGAGACGCTGAAAGAGGACGCCGGGGTCACTTGCCTCTGCTCTCACCTGACCAATTTCACGCTGGCCACAATGATGAACGTGGCAGACGTGGAGGGGGAGGTGAAGGGAGAAGGCTTGAATCGAATGGCTCTATTGGGTATATTGGGTGTCATCCCTGTCATTTTACGTGAGTGGACATCATCTCACATGATCACGACATGATCTCGATGATGATGATGATGACGATGATCAGTCGTATTGATCGTTGTATTCTTCATCAAGAGACACCAGAAGAAGTCATACACTCCAATGGAACTCAACTCCTCCTCCACGGTGAGTCCATCCTCCATCCATTCCATCCAATCGATGCAGGACATCGAAATCGTGAGAGAGATCGGTAGAGGAACACGTTGCACGGTCTACGAGGCAAAGAGGGCGGGAACAACTGTCGTCGTGGTGAAGAAGGCAAACGATCCGCAGGCATCAGAGTCGCTGTCCAGTGAAGCGAATCGATTGAAGGTGACGTGTGATGACGTCATCGATGAGATGTCGTTGATGGCATCGCGGTAGGGTCTACATCATCCGAATGTATTGATGTACCTGGGAGCTTATTTCGAAGAGAATAAGATGTGTCTCGTTGTAGAACGCATGGAAGGTGGTATTCTACATGATGTGAGTGGCACATCCGATTACACCGTGAAATCTCACTGAAATTTCAGTGCATGAGGAAGACGCTGGACGGCGACACCATACAGAATATGTGAGAGTCGAATGAAATGATAAGATGTGACTCGTTGTAGAATGAGAGACATCGCGGCTGGCCTCAATTACTTGCACGAGAATGAAATAGTGCATGGCAGGTTGTGCCCAAGGAAAGTGTACCTCACTTCGTCTCTTCACGGGAAGATATCGGCCTACGGATCAGATGAAAACGCTCGGATTACGGCTGACATGGAAGGATATATCGTGAGTGTTCTGTTTCCTCATCATCTCATCATCGATCGCCATCACGTCGACTCATCATCATCGTGTGTCTATCATCCTCATCATCACTTGTCATCGTCTTCACTTGTCTAATCGATGTAGGCACCCGAAATGAAAACTGATCCAAAACCCACCATCGAGGGAGACATGTGCATCGTCATCTTCAACCTCATCATCATCATCGTGACACGATCACAGATACGCTTATGGAGTCTTATTCGATCGATTGAAGAAGAGAAGGAAAGACACGGGAGAAGAACCAGACGTTTGGATGGACATCATCGGTGCATGGTGAGATGATCGAATCGCGAGGGGAGGTTGATGGAGGACAGTACGATGCAGAGGAAAGAGAAGAGGTGGAGAATGATGCAAGTGGGTGTCAAATTAGGAGGTGGTAGGCTGCAAGGGAAGATCTACAATGAGACAGACGAGAACATCTACAACGGATGAATACAACCATTGATATTTTTTCAGTTTGATTCTGAGTGTGATTTTGATGAGTCACCAATCCCTTATGGTGTAGCGGTAACATCCAAGACTCTCACTCTTGAGCCCCGGGTTCGACTCCCGGTGAGGGAACACCTTTTTGCTGGATGATGAGTCCACGTCATTACCAGTCGTGGTTCAGGATGAAGTCGTGATCGCATTGTCTGACTCTTTGTATCGCTTATAATTGTTCTCTACAGACAATGATGACGGTGCTGTCACATCATTCCGATCGAGAAACTCGTTCGGTCAAGTCATTACTGATCGTCACCCGTCATCACTGCCACCGACCATAATATTTGTCTCGAGCCGGTTTAAACGGTAGACACCCTCACTGTTCGCTGAAGTGATCGGGGTGCAATGTTTCCCCTGTCCGCTCTAATTCGACACCCCAAGGGCCGTGGAGTGGGCAACACAACAACCCAGACATCTTCAATCATGAGACTAAAGCTAGATTGGTGGAAACATTGCACCCTTTTTTGTTCTTACTTGTTGTCACCTGCGTGTGTAGCGATGCACCGCGCTGAAGAGCGTCACCCTTTCGAGGAGCTCGCAGTCGTCACCTAGATCACCACTATCCAGTGTCGGTCAGACTCAGGGTGATTCTCTGGTAAATTCGTCCATGATCAGACGCTCCATGTGATGCGAGGGAACACAATCGAGACGCTTACAAATGCTATACAGTCTTTATCTACACGATTGATATTACTGGGGAGAGTCCATCATGATCTTGACGCTCGACCTCTTCGTTGGATCAATGGTGAGCAGCTGCGCGAGTCGATCTCTCATTCCTCTAGATACAACGACATCTTCCGTATCAGGTGGTAACGGTATCGTCGAGCAGTTGTCAAATGTCGTCAGCATCTCATCCAGGCGCCATACGGAAAGACACCAAAGAGCAGTGCATACGCCGTGATGCCCAACGCCCAGGCGTCGACTTGTGTAGCTCTTAAAGGAATCTGTTCGAGGTGCTCGGGTGAGATGTATTCGGGGCTGTATGAAAGATGAGTGTGTTGTGTGTGATGTCATTTCGCACCTTCCACAGTATTTGGATGAGAGGCTCTCCTTTCCAGCTGTGACTTTAAAGAAGGTGCACAGTCCAAAATCGATCAAGTAGACGCGGTCGCCCTCGACCATGATCTGGTGTGGATTTAGAGGTCGAATTGAAGGCGTTGTCTGTGTTCTCACGTTTTCCAATTTCACATCTCTATGAGCGATGCCCTTCTGGTGACAAGCGAACAGAGCGGCTGCAACCTGGCTGATGATCTTCCACACCAAATTCTCCGGCAATGGCTGAAAGTCCCTTCTTTGCAATATTGTGAAGAGATCGGCTCCGTGAATGAGGTCAAAGATCAAACTCTATAATGCATTTAGAAACGAGGAATCATTCCATCGCATCGTTTACCGTCTGTCTCCCCTCGTCGTAGTATCCGTGTAACGTGCAAATTCCCTTCGTTCCTTTCATCGTCGCGTTGGCCTTGATCTCTCTCGCAATGAGTCCTCTGTCGCCTTCTTCTAGCTTCTTGATGACTTTGACGACCACTCTCTTGCCCGTCTCCTTATCCTTCGCTGCATAGAGTTGACCGTATGCTCCCCTATTCAGTGGTTGCATGATGTGGAATCGGTGATGCATGCTGGCTTGAGGTGTGCTGGTCCTCCTTTGGGTGTTTTTTTTGTGGTGCGATTCCGGCGTAAACCAGAGATGTGAAATCGTACGTCTTCATTGCGTACAGATCCTGCATCTCTCAAGATCTCATAGATCTACGCACGTGTGAACGATTAATTGAGGTGGAGAATGTAAACGAACTGTTTCTTGTGAATTGTTACGATCGTGTGAGATCTATTACACTTAGATTTGATAGATCTATTATTTCTTTATTAAATGCAGGAGCTAATTCCAGATGTGACGTGGCTGAAGGGAACCTAATTTAACTAGCTTTCAACACGAAGATTCGAAGCGTCTCATCCGGGTGATGAATGCACGTAGAAACGATGAAGAAGTTGGATGATGGACAATCTGAGTCAACATGTATAGAAAGAAGAACGCATCTGTTCTTCGGCTCGCATTTCACATCACAACGTTGTGTATCCATTCAAAAGAAACCATTTCATTGAACAGAGTCTCAGACCCGTCTATTGAATTCTCTTGGTTGTGATTAACTCAACATGAAAAGATCATCGCGGGTCGTGTTTCAATGGAGTTGCTTCAGAGATAAAGTCACCGTGATCCGACTCTCCCAACAAGAGCCGCCATTGATCTGCGTTGCTGGAGATCATCAAAAGGAGGCTCTGAGTTGGGTCACGTGATTACAGAAATTGCCTCCGCGATAGTTAACGTGAAATTTGCGGTATGCCGGCGAGAAGAGAGCTTAAGATTTCGGCGATCTCAATCATCCGACACCCTCTTAAGGGTCATCTTCCTTCACGATCAAATGAAACAAAACAGTCGTTGCATCTTTATCTAAGCCGAAGAATAGACTTGCACTCTGTCCGGACCACCGCAAGGCTCGCTCTTGTTTCCTGCACATCCCATCGAGCACCCCGCCGCAACTGGATCCGCCCCGGCCGCCGCAGCCACCGGCTCATCAAACGATCCGTAGCATTCCGTCGCGTATTCCACACCACAAAACTTGTAGCCGGCCGCAGTGCAAGCGTCGAGACAAGTGGCCACCGTCATCGTCTGTGCATTCACGGCCACGTTGTTCGGTAGAGTTCGACTGTTCGTTCGGTCGACGAGACAGTTGTAGAAGGTCCACTGGCCGTAGTGGCTTCTGACGACGAAGGGAGGCACGCTGGTGTCCTGATAGACGGACAATCGGTTGCCCGCGCCACACTTTAGAGAGGGGTCGCCGCTGCAGGCCATGTTGCAGTCGATGGGCGAGGCCTGGCTGGGAGGCTGGCTCCTGCCACACCAACACTCTTGAGCGTATTCGGTGCCAGAGAAAGAGTAGCCGAGTTGGGAGCAAGAGGTGGAGCAGAGGGAGGGGGTGTTACTCGAGTTGGCGTAAGCTTGGTAGGGGAGGGGGCGGTCTCCGTTGTCGTAGTAACATCCGAGGGAGGATACGCTGGGGGTGGTGGAGGCTGGGGGGGATGTAGAGCTGGTGCTGCTAGTGCTGCTAGTGGTGGTAGTGCTGCTGGTAGTGCTGCTGGTAGTGCTGCTGGTAGTGCTGCTCGTAGTACTGCTCGTAGTACTGCTTGTGGTGCTACTGGTACTGCTGCTGGTGCTGCTGGTGCTACTGGTAGTACTACTGATGGGAGAAGACGTCGTAGACGATATCGTACCGTTCCCCTTGACGTAAACAGTCAGCCTGCCTCCTGCACCACACGTCGTCCATGGGTTGTTCGGACACTTCATGTTACAGCTCGCCTCCTCCGCCTTCACCAACGCTGCATAGTCCTGCGCCGTACCACAGTAACACTCCGCACCGTATTCCATACCGGCCACGCCGTATCCCGCCCTCTCGCACAGCAGAGTGCAAGCGGCGGCGTCGTTCGTGTTGCCTCCCGGGGCCGTGTAAGACAGAGCTCTCCTTCCGTTGGCCTCGTTGTAACATGCATCGTAAACCCATCTACCAACGGTGGGTGTCTGCTTGCCGTAACGTTCGGCGTTGTAGAAGACAGATCCAACGGCTGAAGGGGTGAGAAGGGTGGTAGAGAAAATCGAGTGAAATCTCACCGGGTGCTCCACAGATCTGCCCACCGTTCCCAGCGCAGGCTTGGTTGCAGCGCGCCTCCGGTATGTTACCGGTAGGTAACACTTGACCACACCAGCACTCTCTGCCGTACTGTGTGGCCGCCACAGAATAAAACTGATTAAAACACGTGTTCAGACAGACACCGTCGTCCATCGTGTCGGCGGAGTAGACGTTCTGCAGTTTCCAGCCCGGAGAATTTCCCGCCGAAAAACACCCGATGTAACGGTATCGGGGGGTTACGCCGTCGCTTCCCAGGGGGCCCACGGTGGGAGATACGATGGTACCGTTGGCAACGAAGACTGTTCCTCTGAACGTGTCGGAGTTTCCGTTGAACGTCCAAGTCATTTGAGACGAGTAAGATGGTACGTTGACCTGAGATATCGGTGCGGTGAAGTAGATGAGGCTAGTGACAGCCTGCCCGTACGTAACTTGCGTACCCTCCCCGATATCCCCGATATTCTGAGGGTAGACGATGCTGGTGGGAAAAGATTTCGAGCGGGAGATGATGAGAGTCGAGGGACCGTAATTACGTATGGAGAAAGTACGGCTGATGGAGGTACCACAGGTCACGTGACCAAAGTCCATGAAGGTAGAATTGATGAAAGTACCGTCTGATATCTGCACTTGCAATACTTCCCTGGGCGGTTGGGCTGATGTACCGGTGAGGAGTAAGGTGGCAATGTTTCCGTTGGTGTAGATCGTTACGTAACAAGCGTAACTACCGTCTCGTTGGGGGTTGAAATTGAATTGGACTCCCTGGGAAGCTCCACCGGGAAGCGTGGAGTAGATTGGGGGGAGGTAGAGAGTGAAGGGAGAGCAATCGTTAGTGGATGGGCCGTTGAAAGAGGCATTCGACATGGTGTAGCCGGTGATGTTGAGCGTCTGATGATCTTCATCAGTTTATGTGATGATGATCGAGGGACGAACGATCGTTGTGATGAGATGAAGTGGATGAAGTGATGATGATTCTGGTCGTGATGATGCCGATCGCGATGATGCTGATCGCGATGATGATCGTGAAACACTTCACCTGCAGTCCCAAATTCTTAAAGGTAGAAGAAGAAGTCACTCCATTCATCGTATCAACCGATCCCGTGATCAACCCTCCAAAGTTGATACCGGCAGGCAAAAGCTGCAGGAGAGGTTTCCTTGAAATTCCGTTTCCCCTTACGTTGATCATGACGGTGGAAGAAAAAGTCTGAGGCTGCCCGGACAGTGTAAGAGTGATGGCTGATGCCGTAGAACCAATCTTGGAAGGATGCCACGTCACGTTGAAGCGGAAGGATGGAGAATCAGCCGTGAGGGGTACGGTGGGTACGTACGTACCGTCCACGGAGAAATCGGAATTACCCGACGTAACCGAGGTGATGGTGACGGGTACGACGGCGGAGCACGTGA